CTCTCTCCCACTGATCACTAATTAAGATAATGCCTTTCACCTGCATCTCATGGAGGCATTTCCTCAACTGAGGCTCCTTTCTCTCTGATGACCCTAGCTTGTGTCAAGTTGACACACAAAACCAGCGGTAACAGACAGTTTCCTGGTCTTTCTCACTGATTTCTTCAGGATGGAGGGGCTGGAAGTCCGCGTAGGCTTTCGGAATGGCCATCAGAGACCTTTTGACCTTCCCACGGTTGCTCTTAACTTTCCTAATACTGTGACCCTTTGATACAGCTCCTCATGTTGTGGTGACCCTTAACCATTTAAACTCATTTTGTTGCTACTTCGTAACTGTAGTGTCGCCACTGTTGTGAACTGCAGTGCAAATATTGGATATACAGGATATCTGATATGTGACCCATGCAAAGGGGTCATCTGACCCTAGAAATCCCGACCCGAGGTTGAGAACCACTGCTTTACCAATTTGTTAAAATCTGAGAGTGAGGTCACCACAACACCTGTCCCAAGTGTTTAGGAATTGGCTTCTCTGTCTCAGTATTTGCATTGAGAGGTCAGATCAATAAAAGAAAAAACACCTGGCCCCCAAACCAGATGTGACAGATGTGAGCCCATGATGACTGACACCCATAGGGAGGACACCCCAGATGGCCAAAGTACTGGGTTGTGCCTGGCTGACAGAGGACCCATTTTTACACTCACAAGGAAGGCTCTTGTCATCGCTGCTCCATGAATGAGTCACAGAGTCATTACGTCTTGCACCAACTCGTATAAAATAATATTTACAGAAATTACAGTCTTTTGAGCACTCGACTTCATGCAAGAGTGGCATACACTGTGCTGAAGGGAAGGGTGTGGCCTTTGTTCCAGGAATTCCACTCTCAGAACAGACTCTCCAAATATGTGCTTAAGTGTACTTAATTCCTATTTATTGTAGCTCCATTTGCAAACATTAAATGGTTTATGAGAGAAGGTTGCTGGCTTCTTTCTACCATAGAGTGATATGCTGCTGTGAGGGAAAATAGTTATGACATAATTAGAGTTATTAGCTTCCTGTTGTAACAAATCACCCTGACCCGAACGGCATAGAACAGTCGGGATGGATCTGGGGGTGGGACTCGCTGGTAGAGCTGTTTAGAGGTACTGTCAACCCTGACGCGTTTGCCCCTAGAACCGCACACACTTTCCAGTTTAACCATGGCCTAGTTAACAGAATCCACTGTAAACATCAAGCCCTACTCGCCACTCCCACACATCCAGGTCCCAGGCAGCAAATCCTGCCACACAGAGTCGTAGACTGAGCAGGCCCCAGGGTGGCCAGGGAGCAGTCCATAGGCATCAGCCTGGTGTCCCCTTTTCCAGGTGACTCACAGGGCCATTACCCCCATAGCACCCTGTTCAGAGACAGACAAGGTTCAGGTTTCCTACCTGTCTTGGTTTTGTTTGCCCTTCAGAGACGAGACTATTTGGCCTCTGGGGTGCCAGTTCTTTGTTGAGTGGGAGCCAAGGGAGTGTCTGTTTGGAGAGCAGAAAAATGCCCGGGTCATGGGCAGAGGAAAACCTGGAGGTCTCCCGACTCTGTGTCTAATGTTAGAGACTGAAAACCACAGGCCTTCCCATTAGCAAAAAGCACACAAAGCAGTGAGGTTTAACAGGGTCCTTTAAGGGCATAGGTCCCCACCCCTCCTGCAGAGTGCTGCTATGGTGATTGTAGGGGACCAAGGTGACTGGGTTGGCTGCGGGAGTCTCTCAGTGCACATCCACTGGGGTGGGGCGTGTGCAGGACGCCAGGTGGACCTGCAGGCTTTGAAGAAGTGGACACAGAAAGACCTGATGGCCAGAGAGGCGCATCCAGTCCTCAGAGAGGCTCTTGTCTCAATCCCACTGTCACTATCGCTGTTAAAGTATTTATTTTTAATTCTGTATACATATCTGTGTGTCTGTGGGAATGTATACACTGGAGTAGAGGACTTGCAGAAGCCAAAGAGGGTGACAGATCCCCTAGAGCTGGGGTTACAGGCATCTGTGAGCCACCTGTCACGGGTCCTGAGAACCAGACTCTGCCTGAGCAGTGGATGTCCTTAACCACTAAGCTATGAAGCCTACCTGCCCTCCCCCTTTCTTTATTGAGATAAAGGAAGACACACTATAGATGCCTAAGGCATTGTCCCTGTTTCTTCTCTTACTATAAAGACAAGTGCTTTTCTAAGGCTACCTCACTGGTGATGCTTGCTGTTCTGTATAATTATTTTAATAAAGAAATGGTATGGCTGAGGATATAGATCAGTGGGTAGAGTGATTGCCCAGAGTGGTGGTTTCAATGAGAATGGTACCCAAAGCTCATATGTTTGACTTTTTGTTCCCAGTTGTGGACTCTTTGGGAAGGATTAGGAGGTGTAGCCATGTTGGAAAAGGTGTGGCCTTGCTGGAGGAGGTGTGACCACATTGGAGGAGGTGTGACCTTGTTGGAGAAGGTGTGGCCTTATTGGAGGAGGTGTGGCCATGTTGGAGGAGGTGTGGCCTTATTGGAGGAGGTGTGGCCTTATTGGAGGAGGTGTGGCCATGTTGGAGGGGGTGTGGTCATGTTGGAGGAGGTGTGGCCATGTTGGAGGAGGTTTGGCCACATTGGAGGAGGTGTGCCACTGAGGGTGCACTTTGCATTACCACGCCAGGCCCAGTCTCTCTCTCTTTGCCTCCAGTTTGTGGGCCAGGATGTAAGCTATCAGCTACTGCCCCAGCACCATGCCTGCCTGCCTGCTGCTCCCTGCCATAGTGGTCATATAGTAACCCTCTGAAACTGTAAGCAAGTCCCTAGTTAAATGTTTTCTGTTAAACTGTCTCTAAGACACCATGCGTATGTGACTCCCTAGCACTGTCTAAACCGTGCCTGGTGGTACAAGCTCAAAATTCCAACACTCAAGAGTGAGGTGAGAGGATCAGGAACCCAAACCCATGTCCAGCATCAGAGGCCAGCCTAGGATACATGAAACCTTTTCTCACAAAGGAAGAAGAATAGAGTGGCTTGCTATGAAGTGTTCCTCTGGCATGCAGCTTTTAATAAACTGAGCTGTCTGGGTGGGTTCACTACAGTTCTTGTGGTAGCTAAATAGCTGTCCCCCAACATTCCGAGATATCCATGTGTTCAGCCCTGATACCGCAAACAAGGGCTGCCATAACAACACCACAGACTGTGGCTCAGACCATAGCAACCCATCTTATTATAGAGCCGAAGATTAGAAGTCCAGGGCCGGGGTGTTAGTAAGTAGTGGTTTTGCTAGAACTTCTTGGCATGCAGGCAGTTGCCCTCTCCTTGTGCCTTCACAAGGTCCTCCTTGTGCGTCTGTACCTTAACCTCCTTCTCATATAAAGACACTGGTCCTTCTATATTAAGGACCTACCTGTATGATATCATTTTGACATCATTGCTCCTTCAAAGACCATAACAAGTTCATCCCTATTCTGAGAAACTAAGATTTTCATGTAGGAGTTTTAGCCAGAATACAATCCTGTCTGTGACAGTTACCTCATATGATAAACGGGATTTTCAGGGACGTTAAAGATCTTGAGGTAGAATTTCTCTGGGTGATTCAGGCGGCCTGATGGGATACTGAGGTTCTCATAAGAGGGAGAGGAGATGGCTAGTGAGAGAAAGGAGGCTGTAGGGGACAGAGGCAGAGGCTGGAGTCGGCGTTGTATAGGTGGAGGAAGTCCACAGCATCCTGAACGCAGGTGCCGTGGAGTCTCCCCTGGAACATTCCATGTAGAAACTGCCCTGCCAGCACTGAGTTTTTCACACAGCAAGTCCTATGTCAGACCTCTATAATCCAGAAATGTAAGGGGGATAAGTCTGTGCTATGGCAACACACTGTCTGCATTTAGCACCAACTGAAAACCAATATAATCATACATCCCACAAATCCTCTGGTTCAGTCATGCCATCTCCCACACTGGTTTAGGACCTTCTTCAAAATAATTAAAAATAAATTGAGGGTGCTTGCCACTAAGCTTGACAGACTGAGTTTGATCCCTGGAGCCACACGATCAGGGGAGAGAAGGACTCTGACCCCTTGTGCTCACCACTGCCCCCTAACTCCAGTTGGAGGGGATCCACTGCCCCCTTCTGGCCTCTATAAGCACCTACACACAAGTGACAGACACAGCTATAAATAAAACCAACAGGAAGCCTTTTAGAAACACACATCTTTATTATTATTTCTAGCACACTGCTATGCATTAAAACAACAGAGAATAAGAAAAACTGTAAGTTTTGCTTCCTATTCATGTGTTTCCATTTCCGGTGATATTCATTTGCTTAAGCAGAGCCAAGCTGTGGACCGGTGTCATTTTCTTCTCTCTAAAGGCCTTTTACCATTCTACAAGGCAGATCTGCTGGAAGAAGACTCCGTCAATTTTTGTTAAAGAAAGCCTTTATTTCTATTCGAATTTTGAAGAATAATTACATAGGATGTAGAGTTTAGGTTGATGTAAATTGTCTTCTCTAATTCCCTGCATGTTTACTGAGGGAAAGTCAATCATAGCTCTGACCTCTCTTCTTCTCCAAGGAAAGCAAGACCCTCCATTCCAGGTTCTGTCAAGTGCAGGTTCCCATCCACAGTGTTCTGATTCCATTGCTCAGGGCCTCTGTGAGGAAGCACATTGTGGCTGGAACTCATGGCAGAACAAAGTCGTTGGCTTCTTGGCTGGGAGGCCAAAGAGGAAGAGGAAGTGTCTGGGGTCCCACTTGTCACTTGACTTCCTTCCAATAAGTTAAGCTTCCCCCACAAGACTTCACTTTTCAAGCCTCGTCCCCCCACTTCCAATAATGGTCCAGGCTGAGAACCAAGATGTCAACATGGGGTTTGGGAGCAGGGCATTTCTGATCTAACCTCTAGAGCTATCCACCTCCTGAATTTGGCTATGGCATGCATCCCTGTATTTGGTTTTGTATTCTTCCTTCCTGGCCCCGTGGCTTGGTATCTGCTGTTATTTTGGGGTACATGGATGTTCAGTTTATTCTCTCACTTTTTTCTTTCCTTCTAGCTTTCTCTTCACACACAGGTTACCCCTTTGTATAGTTGGCCTAAAATTTTCAGATGTTCTGTTCTCTCTTGTGTTTGCTCGGTTCCTCCTTGCTTGAGAAACACCTTGCTTGAGCCGGGAGATGGTGGCACACACCATTAATCCCAGCACTCAGTGGGCAGAGGCAGGCGAATCTCAGAGTTCAAGGCCAGCTTGATGGCGTTCCAGGACAGCCATGGCTACACAGAGAAACTCTGTCTCCAAGATGGAGAAAGAAAGGGAAAAAAGAAACATCTGTGCATTCATCTTCAGCCTCAGGGAGTCTGTCTACAGAACGTGGAGGCTCCCAAATACATTCTTCATTCCAGTTTTGATGTTTTTGGTTCCTAATATTTCCCTTTTTCTCTCCTTAGAGTTTCCATCTCTCTGGTTACAACATCTGTCGGATCTTGCATGTTACCTAATTTTTCTACTAAAGGCTTTGATATATTAATAATATGTTCAACTTTGAAATCCGTGGTTGCTGTAGTTTGAATGCCCCTATCTAAACTCAGGTCAAAATTTAATTGTCATTTTGATGGCATCCATGAGCAGGCCGTAGAAACATATTGCTCATGAGTGGAAAAAGACCACAGTTGTGGGATGGAATCCCTTAGCCTGGGAGTTAGTTGGTGTGAGCTCTTTCCCTCTCTCTCATGTGCATCCTGGCCATGGGAGGCCTACTAATATGCCATAACACAGAGAGAGGGCCCTCACGAGAGGCAGCCTTGTAATCTTAGACTACCCAGCTTCCAGAAACACAAACCAACGCAAATTCTATCGCTCATACTTCATCCAGTCTGGGATGTTCTGTTAAGGATACATAAAACTAAGACACTCAGACACGAATGTGACAATTCATACATCCCTGCTATATTTGACTGTGGCTTAGATGCTTGTTTGGTCTCTTCAAACTGCTTGTGTGTGTATGTGGGTGGGTGTCTGTGTCTGTGTATCTCCGTCTCGGTCTCTCTGTGTGTCTGTCTGTCTCTGCCTCCCTCTCTCTGTGTGATCTCTTTCATACTTTATAAATTGTGCTGTAAGATAGACATGAGTATTGGTGGAGATGTGCTCATGGTATGGACTTATAGAAGGTCTGCAGGGGAGATCTTTATAATGTACCCGTGCCTATGATGGGTCCCCATGGAGTTTTGGATTCTCAGACTTGACTACTTCAATCCTCTAGAAATTTGCTGATTACAGTTCAGGTTTTTCTACCTCAAAACGGTTTCACCCTGGATTTCGATCTGGTGAAGTTGGGGTTCTCTGTATCTGTCTGTCCCTCCAACTTCGGAGACATCCATTTGTTCCCGTGTGCTCTTCCGACACAAATCTAAGGGCAGTTGTTGATTTGGGGTCTGTTTGGCTTTTCATTGTTTTTTTAAGGACAGCAGAGGGTTTTCTAAGACCCTTACATTGCTAGACTAGAAAAACAAAGGCTCTTAAAAAAAAAGGCATTTCCTCCTGGCCAGTGTAGACCCATTAGCAACCACACATTGATTGCATAGCTGTCTACTATCGGTGATGAGAGGCCATGCTTAAACGCTATTTTAGAAATGAGTGGGGCCATGAGAGAGGCCAGCATAACAAACAAACGGAGCAGCGAGGAGAAAGCCTGGTGTATTAACACTGACTGCAGAGAGCAGAAGGGACTTTCTGGTGCTTTCTCCAGAAAGCAGAACACCTTTCTGGAGGTGTTGACTCACTAGAGGACAATGCCATCAAGGAAGTAAAGCCTGGAAACCCAAACAGATATCAGGACCCACACCTCATGCCATGCTGGGAGAACACGAGAGCAGACAGAGAAAAACAAACCTCAGCCAGGCAAGGGGAAGTCAGCTGTTAGGGGCACACTCAGGGGTGGCGTGGAGATGCCGGATGTGGAGGGAGGAGGTGAGAGCAGAGTTAGAAGGACTAGGGCAGACGTGGGGTTTTGGTGAATATGCAACCCAAGTACGTTCATTTGAGAAGCCTGGGGTCCCAGAATGGACGCCTTCCACTGTCCCACTATTCTGTGCAGGTAATAGGCAAGTCACCAGAACGAGCTGGTTTGAACGGCTTTGCTTCTTTTCTGTTGTAACATCTTCAGGAGGACAGGAGGGAACTATTCATTTGCAGTGTGAGCTGAAAAGTGGCGTCAAGATGGCAGCCACTGTGAAGCCAGAAATGTAACTGGCTTGTGTCCCCTGTTGTGGGGATGAGATAGCACAGGGCAGGGACTGGGGTGGAGTAGGTGGTGACTGCACTCGGAGCTCCTGGCATCTGATTAGTCTACTGTTGCATGAGGGCTTGTTTCTGTTGTTTTGTTGGTTGCTTTGTTTTGGTTTTTGGTTTTGCTTTTCAGTTTTGTCTTATTGTTTTATATTGTGTGTTTGGGTGTTTTGTACACATGTTTAGTTGTGCACCACAATGTTCCTTGTACCACAGAGGCCAGAAGAGGGCCTTAGATCCCTTGGAACTCCAGTTACAGAAGGTTGTGAACCACCAGCAAGTGCTGGGAATTGAACCCAAGTATTCTTAAAGAGCAGTCAGTGCTCTTAGCCATTGGGCCATCCCTCTAGCCCCATGATTGTCTGTTTTGAAATGAATGTCTGTGTTCCTCCCATGCGATGCTAATTCTCCATACGATATTTGGGAGGTGAGCAGTCTTAAATGACGTCATGAGGGCCAGACTGGTGTCCTTCTAAGAAGGAGAAGTGGAGGAAGGGCTTGCTCTCCACTGTGTGGAGCCATCTGCAAGCCCTGAAGAGAGCATTCACCAGGAACTGTTGGCACCATGATCTTGGACTTCCCAGACCTAGACCCACAAAAATAAATTTCTATTACTTAAGGCACTCAGTCTGTGGTATCTGGTTATAGCCGCCCAGACAGACGAAGATATTTCTGGTTCTCCCCTATCCCTGAGTCATTCTGTAAGCCCCTGGGATGCACTCCAACAAGAGATCATGTGCTACTTGGACTGGTGGCTGCAGCTGTTACCATAGCAACCACGGCTGGGCCCTTGACCACACTGCAACCTCTTGCAGGCTGCGCTTAGACTTCAAAGGTCAGTGGGCTCTGCGCAAACACCACACCCTCACTCAGATTCTCCTCTGTTTTCTAAAGCATCTATTGTGGTAGGCATGCTGGGAAAAACAAGAAAAGAAGGGAAGGGGAGGGGAGGGAAAAGAGGGGAGGGGAAACTAGATGTAGTCTTGAAAACTCAGAATCAGTCACTTTAAACCCTAGTTTTCAGATTTAATCCTAGTTTCACTTTGAAGGGCTAGACTAGACCTGGACCCCATCTGCAGTAGGCAGCAACCCGCAGAGTAATTCTTACCTTAAGATGTTCCCATTTCCCTTACATGCATTCTCTACTGCTACCAACAGCCCATAACCACTGAAGAAATGAGACCCCTTATTATAAGACACGCACGAATTATTCACATGATCAGAATTCCATCGCTTACGGCAAGTCTGGAGAGGAAAATGACCTACAACAGAAAGTCTGAGGAAGACCCTTCCAAACGCAAGACCTTGACTGATATCCAGGCCGAGGAACCTTATAAAGGCTGGGGGCTGATAGCCAGCTCTCCCCACAGGAGGAACCCAGGTGACAGAGGGACACTGATCCATGGCAGGTTGTCAACAGGCCATACTGAGACATTCCAGGCAGGAAACACAAGAAAAGCACTAAACATTTGAACTCTGGGCAACTTGTAATTCCCAGATGTGAACTGACAAAGGAGTAAACACTGTCTACAAAGTCGTGTGCGTGTTCCCAGGACCTCCAAAGAATGCAAGAGTGTCACACCTGATGCGACTGTTGATTCTGTAATCTAAAAAAAAAAAAACCAGTCACTTTTGGCAGGTGACTTCCATCACTCTTGCCTCTAGAGAAATGCCAGAGTTTCTCTGCGGCAAGTCTTAGGGTGGAACAATAACATTTTGGGGGAGATGGTTGTCACTGTTTTGCACTGTGGTTTCGACTGAGGTCAGAGCCAAGAGAGAATTCCAGCACTGACCACATTCCTCAACCCCTCCCCTAAGAGCAGCTAAAAGGCTGGTGTTTTTAACTGGAATGCTTCCCATTTAAATGGATGCCAGCTATCCTTTAAGAAGGCCTGAAATACTCGGCTATGTATTTAGGTGCGCTCAATGGGGCTGTTGGCTCTCACTCTCCCAAGGCACCTGCTCCCAGGGGTCTAACAGTTCCGCCTACAAATACTCCTCACAGCCCTGCCCCCAGCTTTCTCCAGAACCAATGATAATTGCTGAGAAAGGACCAGCCATTTCACAACCATGTGTCTTTATTGCTGTCCTCTCCAGAGGGATGCGGGAGAAATGTGTAGGGAATTTAACGATTAGCAAATTACAAAAATATATAAATTAATAACTACATTGTGTGTAGCTTTTATCCTACTTGACCATGAATGAAATTGCTCATGCCCTGCATAGGTGTGTACGGGTAAGATGTTTGGTTGATCCAGAGTGCAGCAGCTTATTGAGGTTGAGGGAGTGACTGGGTTCGACTTTAGAGGCGGGAGAGAGTTTATGATTTATGAACGCTGGGGTGAACATTGTAAGTGAAGCAGGAGCGCATGTATAATCTCTGCCTTCATTCTAAAACCGTCCTCATACACACAGGCAAGTATAGCTCCCTCCTTCATCAAAGAAGCTTCCTTTTATAGCTGGATGGAAATTATTATAAAAAGCCATAAGTAATCAAAATGCCAAGAACAACAGGCTGTGGAGTGCCCAACCCTGACTGATACATCTACAACCCGACCCCTGCATCTAAGGCTCAGGAAGCACAGCTGAAGAGGAATGGGCCAATCATAAGAGTCGGTGGACCAGGATGGTTGCTATGAGATGGTGTCTTCTTTATGGGACAGAGAAGCTGCACCCAGGAAATCATGAGGATATGGTCACCGAAACAAGAGGTGCACAATGGCAATATAAGTTGCTGTGTCCGTGTGGAGGGGAAATCTAATAGGGCACCCCACCCAGATGAAGTGCCATGGACAGAGAGAGACAGACAGACAGAGAATTAGTACTAGAAAAGACAAGAATTAGCCCCCTGATAGGTTTTCAGTACCAACTGATCAGCCCTAAACACATACACGAGGGAGTAACACTAAATGGCGTAGATAACCATAATAAATCAAGAGGACGATATGAACTTGAAAGGGATTAGAGAGGACCTGGGAAGAGTTGAAGAGAGGAAAGAGGAAGGAGGCAAAGATGTGAATATAATATAAATGTGAATATAATATAAATCCACAAAAGAAAAACCTGTTTTAACTAAAAAGGGGGGTAAGCCCAGTTTTCCTCATTGGGGAGATGATGAAACCCAAACCAACAACGAGACCACACAGAAATGTGACTGACTATGGAGGCGGTCCAAGAATGTAAAGGTGTAGGAGGAAAACTGCTCATCCGTTTCCCAGCCGCCTAGACCCGAAATAAACACACAGAAACTATATTAATTACAACACTGCTCGGCCACTGACTTAGACATATTCCTGGCTAACTATTATAACCTAAATTAACCCTTTTCTATTAATCTATATATATCACCACAAGGCTGTGCCCTAACAGTAGAAGTCTTTCTCCTTCGGCAGCTATGTGGCATCTCTCTGACTCTGCCTTCTTTTCTCTGCTATGTAATTGGAATTCCTGCCTTGCTTTCTTCTGCCCTATCATAGGCAAAGTAGCTTTATTTATTAACCAATAAAAGCAACGCATGCACAGAAGGACTTCCCACACCACAAAGGTGTGAAATCTCTTTCCCAGAAAGTAGCTTCTTTTGGGCTGGTTTCTGGATTCAGCCTTTTCCCTTTCCCAGTGTGAGATTCCTAGAAGAAGCTCTAATTCTTTGGAGTTCCTGGTTTCACAGTTGTCTCTTTAGAATACCTTCATCCCTGCCGGACCAGTTCCATTCCCCCAACACCTTGTTTTAATTCTTCAGTCTAGAAGTATAATATGTCTGTATCTGAGCAAATGTCATGAACAGAATACATGTAGGGGACAAGGTTAATGCACATTCCATTTGTGACAGGCAGCTGTGTGTAACAACCACTTCTTTATAACGTCTTGACTTTCTGTTGTTGGAAGGCGGGCACAAACAACTCCATCTTTGTTTGAGACAAGGTCTCACTGTGAAGCCTAAGCTGGTTTCAAACTTATGAATCTCTTGTTTCGGTTTCTGAAGCATCATGGGCAAGCACTACTGTATTTAGCATACTCACTCTTAACAGTGGAATGGATGCCATTGCATGATTACAAATGCACACTCACGCGCGCGCGCGCACACACACACACACACACACACACACACACACACATACATATATGTAGCACACACGCAAACACACAGCAAACTGTGAATGGTATCCAGAACAGGTGGCTTTGGTATAGCCCCATTCCCTGAGTGGTTCCTTGGGGGTGGGATTCTTGGGATGCCTGCTTTAAAGATATTCCATTCCGCAGCTGATTTATTAGATAAGAAATCAAAAGGAAAAGCAGTAGTGTGTGTGTGTGTGTGGGGTGCTCCAGTAGGGACAGCAGTTGACTACAATACTTGTTATGCCTTAGACCCTGGATGGATTTTTTTTATTAGTAAAAACATGTGTGTGCAGAAGCCAAAGAAGGATGCCAGGTGTCCAGGCCCCTCACTCTCTGCCTCATTTCCTTGAGGCAATATCTTTCGTTGAACCCAAAACTTCCCATTTCAGCAAGTGTGACCAATGAGGGCCAAGGGTGCTCATCAAAACAGGTTACAGGCACACATGGCCATATCCGGCCTTGTTTTTTTTTGTTTTAATAGATGGGATCTGGGGATCCAAACTCAGGTTCCCATGCTTAGGCATTGGGCAGTCTTACCCACTGAGCCATCTCTACGGCCTACTAAACTTCATTCTTCAAGCGGTTTGGGCCTGCAGAAACACAGGACACAAAATAACCTGCTCTCACACCAAAGACTGTTCTCTGTTACCAGCAGCTTTGTAACATGAGGGGCTGCTCGTTGGGGTTTCTGTCCTGCCCAGTTCCCACAGTCTTTAGGTCCCAAAGAATCACTCAGAAGGTCTACAAAAGTTATAAAACTGATTGGCCCGTTAGCTCAGGCTTCTTATTAGCTCTTGTAGCTTATATTAACCCACTATTCTGATCTATGTTAGCCATGTGGCTCAGTAACTTTTTCAGCGAGGCAGGTCATATCCTGCTTCTTCGGTGATCTGAGCAGGAGTGGGAGGAATGGGCTTCCTTCTTCCTAGAATTCTCTTGTTCTCATTGCCCCACCTCTACTTCCTGTCTGGTTGACCCACCTATACTTCTTGCTTGGCCAATCAGCATTTATTTAAACATGATTGACAGAATGCAGACAATTCTCCTGCACCACAGCTTGTATTACTGTTAGTGTTTGCTCCACTTGCTGACCCGGATTGCTCTGTCCACTACAACCCACTGCATGGGTATTTGCTGCCTCATTCATTCTCTGGGAATTAAAGAGAAAATGGTGTCATGTGCCACCTTGGCAGTATCATATGGGAGAGTTTTACTGCCCTAAAAGTTGCCGCAGTGACTTAAAAGGAAAGACAACAGGCTGTTTAAGCCTCCTTGCTTTGAGTAACAAGGCATTTACAACTGTTGGCTGAAAACACGTGAAACACAGCTACTTTCTGAGTCTCCATCCCTAGCATCCTTCTAGGATATTAGTTTCGCATCTAAAATTGGATAGTTAATGATACGTTCTCTTTTCCAAACCAGACAATGAGAGAGTCTTGTGGGAAGGAAAAGACGTTTATTGCATAGTGGAGCTTATCAAAGAGAAAGTGACACAATTCGCCACATCTTTCTTCATTGCCGCTTTGGCTTCTCTTCCTTTCACAGAGCCTATTCAAGAGAGAAGGAAGGGCAGGTTAGACCACCATGGTATGCATCTGCATCCCTGAGAAGGAGGGGCAGGTTAGACCACCATGGTATGCATCTGCATCCCTGAGAAGGAGGGGCAGGTTAGACCACCATGGTATGCATCTGCATCCCTGAGAAAGAGGGCCAGGTTGGACCACCATGGTGTGCATCTGCATCCCCGAGAAGGAGGGGCAGGTTGGACCACCAACAGCATCTCTACATTGGAGGCCTGGCCTGGGATTCCTGGGAATTGCTTTAAAAGTGATCCAAATGACACAGAAGACCTGAACAGCCACACAAAACATCCTGCTTTGGCCAAAGACAGATGAGAGACAACACAGAAAGATGAGGTAGTCTGATCAGGGGACAGGGGAACAGCCTCAAAAAGGGAGTTTATTTCTCAGCAGGAAGAACCAGAGAGACTCCTTGCAGAGGCTCCAGCCAGGTACTGGCCTATGAATGGGAGATGGAGGAGCCAAGCAAAGACGTAGCTGGTCCGAGTTGGCGGTAATCTAAGGAAATGGGGCTGCAGACCAAATTTTCCCAAACCCACCCACTCATTCATTCATCAGTTAATCTGCTCAGTAAGCAAGAAGGCATGAAACATGTTTTTAGGACTGAAAAGATCAAAAAAAGACACAGTATTGACATCCTAAAACACTTAAAGTCATAAACTAGAGGGGAAGGTGGATGTCACTGAGGGTTCAGATGCCTGACAATATAGACCTAAGGCAATCAGCTCCCAGAGAGGGCAAGGAGCGATGTACCCTCTGGTGGGATACAGGGCCTAGGGATGGAGGTCAAACCCAGGGCCCAGGGAGAATTGCCCACTGTGTGAGGCAGGAAGCAGAGAAAACCAGGATGCCAACTAGGGATGCAGACAAGGTCCACACTACTGGGGCCTTGTCCATACGCCATGGTACTC